TATTTTAAGATTTGTAACTCCCAATTAAAATATTGGGGAGTTACATAAAAATGACAAATTACCTAAATACCCGTACACTTAATATGTGAGTTACATTTGAACCTAACTAAAAGATGAAACATGATTGGTTGATGTTGGTTAACATAGTTAATACAAAAAATTGTAGTGGTTTTTATTTGATCGCTCATATATATATATATATATATATATATATATATATGAAAATATTTTCTATTTAAATCTTTTGATGGTACGATGCTTGACTACTCTTGAAATAGTTCCATAAATACCCCAAGGTGCGAATTCACAGTAGGTAAATTTATTATTTACCCATTAGTGATTACGACAGATGACATATATTATGATACATTTATTTGGGAGTTCGTTCCGTTGTTTCTCCTAATAATCCGTTTGTATGAATTAATTTGTTTATACTATTATTATTCGGTTGTTATGTTGAATAAACAATTTAAATGATATATGATGTTATCGATTTTTAAAATTATCATAATTTTATAGGCTTTCCAACAAAAATATTTTGTACATACATGTATATATAATAATAATTATTATAATAGTAGAGTATAACAAAAAAATATGCCAAAGTCAAAACCTACTTATTTATTTGTACTAGTCTATTAGACCATAATAATAAGAGAAATTTATAAAAATAATCATTTAATACAATCATTTGCCACAAAATAATTGGGTTTTTCAAGTTTTTGCGTTTTGACCACCCGGATCGCACCCGGGGCGATCCGTACATGTGGGGGCCGATCCACATTAAGGGTTCTAAAAAAAATACAGCCTTAAAAGACGAAATTACTGTTCACCCTCGAAGACCGAACTTTGACCTCGCCCTAGGGGGCGATCCAGAATGTCCCATAGCCCCTAGGGGCGATCCAGCCTAAAAATATTTTTTTTTAATTTTTTTTTGTTTTGTGGTATTTTTAATAAGACTGATACCCCATTTAAGTTGTATTTTTTAACTTTTTTAGAACCAAATTTCATGGGTAAAGGTTTAAAAATAAACCATTATAATTATGGAGACGCAAAAATTATTTTTATCAGATTTGGGTTTCATAAATCAGATATAATATCTGATTTACGAAA